AGGCCCGGTGCACGAAATTTGTGTACTTTGGTGGGGGTCCCTCGGTCCGGCCTGTGCCCTCTTGCACTCTGGGAGCCCTCGGGGGTTGTCTGACTGACAGCTTAGGCCCATGGGGAGCAGGCCTAAGCTGGCACTCGAACATCCTTAGCACTGCCGTTGAGGCAGGAGAGGCTCCCGCCACCACCACTGTGCTCGCCAGCAGTGAGGCCGGCTTCTGACTGAGCAGCAGTCCCCCTGTAGGAGCCCACTGACCACCAGGGGACAGCTCCTGCATTGAATGAGATCAGGCTGAAACTGGCTCTCTGACATCCCTGAGGGGTCCTGGATTGCAAGAGGGTGCAGGCCAGGCTAAGGGACCCCACGGGTGCACGATCGAGGCTGGAGAGGGACCATGGGAGGGCTCTAGGGTCTGTCTGGCCCATCTCGCTCAGTCCTGATTGGCCGGACACCAGCAGCAAGCTAACCTACCATTCAGAGCATCTTGCACGTCATAGCGAACGGTTGAGCAGCTTTAGCATATCATTAGCATATGACACTTTGATTGGTTATATGGACTACCAGACACTTAGCATATTAGGCTTTTATTACATAGGATAGTTTTACTTTTAATTTTACTAACTACTATCATCCTTACAGTATTCAATTTGCCTTTTCCTCTATTATCCTTCCAATTGTTCTCTTACTTTATCTGCAATTTCCTTTCAGCTTCTTATGCCAGATCCTTTACCATTTTTCATTGTGAAACCTAATTTGTCATTCAGGATTCTTTTTTTGGATGACCTTTGAAAAGTTTCATAAATTCTTCATAGTATTCTTTCATAGTATTCTTCACTTTAAATGAGTTAATTGAAAATTGTATTTATGATTAGCTCTGAAATACTTAAGAGCAATGTACATGCCTTTTAAAAATATTGAGCTTATACGAGTAGCTTGCTTAAGACATTTAACTATTTGATAAAGGACATTTGAAGTTACACAACTACAAATTAATATTAATTAGTATTTCATTCTGCCTGGAAAACATTTATCTGCTTCAGTGTGTTTAATTGATGCTCATTAGATATAATCATAGAGTATACTATACTCCAAAGTATTTTTTATTTCAGCAGACTTTAAATTATATTGTGGCTAATACATATTACTATTATATGTAATATTCTATTTATAATCCCTCAGAATTGATAATATATAATATTGGTTTATTATTTTAAATTAGTCAAATATCTAATAGGGTAGAAAAATTTACCCCTGAATGACATCAGATAATAATTTTCTCTAAGTCATAATTGCTATTTTACATTACAGGAAAAATACTTGTACATTGATCCTAGATAAGAATTTTTTAAAAATGCAAGATTACTCCTTAAAAGTAAATTTCAGTCTCTCTTTCCTTCTTTGGGTCTTCTATGTATTTTCCTTCTTCTCTTGAATATTGTGTAATTTATTTCTCACTATAAAAATTTTACTTTTAGCATAAAATATATTCTTTTTTATAAGAAATAATCATTTGTCACATTGTTACTTTGACTCAAACTATTAGAGATACTGTAATTTTGAAATATTATTTTTCTTGAAATGTGTATAAAGATTTTACAATACACTCATAATCCTTACAATTATATTATCACCACTGAGTCAATCCAGTTAGGGCATGCATTTTAAAAACATGAAATAGTTTGGCTTAGTGGATGGAGCGTCAGCCTGCGGACTGAAGAGTCCCGGGTTCAATTCCGGTCAAGGGCATGTACCTTGGTTGTGGGCACATCCCCAGTAGGAGATGTGCAGGAGGCGGCTGATCAATGTTTCTCTCTCATCGATATTTCTAACTTTCTATCTCTCTCCCTTCCTCTCTGTAAAAAATCAGTAAAATATATTAAAAAAACAACAACAACAACAAAAACCATGAAATAGAATTAAGTTTTCTTGTGAGATCTTGGTAATGTTACTTGATTCTTTATTTCTGCATTTTTGGTGCAAGCAGGCTGTTTGTTCTTTCTTTCTGTAAATCACAATATATAATCAAAGGAACATATTTAGTTAAATGTTTTACATTTTTCCAGGATGAATTGATTACATAAATTCCAGATATTAGTTTTTATACCTAATTAAGTTTCTTTCAAGATTATCTTTAAGTTTATTATCAAGTAACTTTTTTGGTAAAAACAAAACAAAACATGTGTGTTTCAACATTTACTTGAAAATACTATGTGGACTTTGACAAGCAAATCAGAATGGAGCTTGATTCTCCAAGATTTAGCCTCAATGACTCCCATATGTACAATACTCACTGAAGATATTTTGCTTCCAGTACTTACCTTAGACCTTAATGATATTTTCAGCTTTCTAGAATTTTTTATTTTATATAACAGGGTAGCAGTACTATGGGGAACATATATAGCTCATTGTTCAATCTAAATAACATTTTCTAGTTTTTTAATATCTACATAAACATTTTTCCATTTTTATTGAGAAATCATTGACATACATCACTGTATAAGTTTAAGACATATAGCATGATGATTTGGTTTACATATACTGTGAAATGATTACCACAATAGGATCAACTAACCTGCATCTCCTCATATAGATGATAGCTATTCTGACAGTTGTGAGATGGTACCTCATTGTTGTTTTGATTTGCTTCTCTCAGATGATTAGTGACTTTGAGCCTGTTTTCAGATGTCTCTTGGCCTTCTGTGTGTCCTCTTTCAAAAAGTGTCTAGTTAGGTCCTTTCCCATTTTTTGATTTGATTGCTTATCTTCCTTTTGTTAAGTTGTATGAGTTCCTTATAAATGTTGGAGATTAAACCCTTATTGGATACTACAGGCCCAATGCACGAAATTCGTACAAGAGTAGGCCTTCATTCCCCCGGCTGCCGGCACTGGCTTCCCTCTGGCTGCCAGCACCCTGGACCCGGGCTTCCCTTGCAGAGGGAGGCCTGACCCACCCGCTACAGCCCGCCGGTCGGTGGCCTGGGCTTCCCTCTTTGGGGTGATTGTGGAACCCCCGCGATTGATCTCCCTGCCGCCGATTTTCATATTACACTTTTATTTTTATTTTTTTTTAAATATATTTTATTGATTTTTTACAGAGAGGAAGGGAGAGAGATAGAGAGTTAGAAACATCGATGAGAGAGAAACATTGATCAGCTGCCTCCTGCACAACCCCCCACTGGGGATGTGCCCGCAACCCATGTACATGCCCTTGACCGGAATCGAACCTGGGACCTTTCAGTCCGCAGGCCGATGCTCTATCCACTGAGCCAAACCGGTTTCGGCTACACTTTTATTATATAGGATAACACTTGCAAATGTGTTCTCCCATGCAGTGGGTTTTCTTGTTGTTTTGTTGATGGTTTCTTTTGCTGTACAGAAGCTTTTTATTTTGATGTAGTCCCATTTGTTTATTTTCTCCTTAGTCTCCATTGCCCTAGGAGCTGTGTTGGTAAAGATACTGCTATGACAAATGTCTGCTATTTTGCTGCCTATGGATTCTTCTAAGATTTTTATGGTTTCTGGTCTTACATTTAAGTCTTTTATCCATTTTGAGTTTATTTTTGTGTATGGTGTAATTTGGTGGTCTAGTTTCTTTTTTTTTGCATGTATCTGTCCAATTTTCCCAACACCATTTATTGACAAGACTGTCTTGACTCCATTGTATGCTCTTGCCTCCTTTGTCAAATATTAATTGAGGATAATGGCTTGGGTCAATTTCTGGGTTCTTTGTTCTGTTTCACTGGTCTATATGTCTGTTCTTGTGCCAGTACCAGGCAGTTTTGAGAACAGTGACTTTGTAATATAGCTTGGTATCTGAAAAAATAAATTAAAAAAAAAATCAATTGCTTAAAACTGAGTTAAAAAACACACATATGAAAACATGTTCAAAGTCACTAATCACCCAAGAGATGCAAATCAAAACAACAATGCGGTACCGTCTCACACCTGTCAGACTGCCTATCATCAACAAATCAACAAACGACAAGTGCGGGCGAGGATGTGGAGAAAAAGGAACACTTGTGCACTGCTGGTGGGAATGCAGACTGGTGCAGCCACTGTGGAGAACAGTATGGCGTTTCCTCAAAAAACTAAAAATGGAACTCCCATTTGACCCAGTGATCCCACTTCTAGGAACATATCCCAAGAAACTAGAAACACCAATTTGAAAGGATGTATGCACCCCTATGTTCATAGCAGCACAATTCACCATAGTTAAGATCTGGAAACAGCCTAAGTTCCCATCAGCAGATGAATGGATTAGAAAACTGTGGTACATCTACATAATGGAATACTATGCTGCTGTAAAAAGGAAGGAATTCTTACCATTTGCAACAGCATAGATGGAACTGGAGAGCATTATGCTAAGTGAAATAAGCCAGTCAGAGAAAGATAAATATCACATGATCTCACTCATTTGTGGAATATAATGAACAACATAAACTGATGAACAAAAACAGATCCAGAGACAGAGAAGCATCAATCAGACCGTCAAAACTCAGAGGGAAGGTAAGGGAGGGTGGGGGTAAGGGGAGAGATCAACCAAAGGACTTATATGCTAGCATATAGGCCTAACCAATGGACACAGACAACAGGGAGGTGGGGGCATGTGTGTGGGGGATAGGGGGTAATCTGGGGATAAGGACACATATGTAATAATCAATAAAAAAATTTAAAAAACTGAGTTAAAAAATAATTTTTTAAAAAGAGTCCTTCTATCTATCCATTGTCCCATTGTCATTAGAAAATAAAACATTCTGTGCCCAATGTACACCTTTTAGAATTTTGTTCACTTTTCAATTGATATATATCATTCAAAAATATATCTCCCCAGTACAAGTTTAAATAATAATACATTTTACACTTACACAGTTTTCAGTAGGAATTTTGTCTAAGACTTTACTGATATTAGCTTTAGAAAATATAAATGCACAATTATTCCAAAACTCTCCTTTAGAATCTTGAAGAATTATGATACAATTGATCTTGGAAAATTTTTCTTCTAGGTGGTTTAGAATCTTTAAAAAATCTTCAGCAACTAATTGTGGACAACAATCAGTTAATTAGTACAAAAGGCCTTTGTGATACTCCTACCATTATCTACCTGGATTGCTCACATAATCATCTTACTAAAGTTGAGGGTATTGAAAACTGTGGATTGCTTCAAATACTGAAGTTACAGGGAAATTACCTAAGTGAGGTAATTGCTTTGAAATCATTTCTGTGATTAATGCAACATTTTTTCTTTTGATGAAAATATCAACCACGTATTTCAAAAGCAATTTTGATTATTTTTCTTTTGCTTATCAGCTGTATCTGATTTCAGTTTATTTTAAACTATTGTACACTTTCCAGTATTTAAACAAATGTTTACCATAGTTAGGAAAATTTTTAAAGAAATCTAATTTAACATTACTTTTTCATAATACCAAAATATAGTAAATCAAATCTTTTAAGTTATATTTTAGTATGTAGTGGGATTAAATTTTCTATCATGTAATTCTAACTAAAATTCAGCATAAAATACTTTCTATACAAAATTCTAATTGAGGTTAATTCTTAAAAATTTAATTTATACTAAAATTTTCATAACATTATACTTTGATTTGTGATACACAGATTACCAGAATATATCTGTTGTTAGTTTTGATAAATTTTATACTTTTAAATTTGGTTAAGTGACAAAAATATTTTGCTTAATATAAGCTAATGACACAAATTTAAATACAGATTCCACCCTTGGAGAATCATGTTCTACTACGAGAATTGTACTTGGATGATAACAGCATTTCAATTGTGGACGCATGTTCTTCGTATTGGCTGCCTTTGCTACAAAACCTGACTCTGTCTCAAAACAGGTAAAAAATGAACTTTACTTAATAAATGAAGTAAATGATTACTTAATTGTGTGGTCTTCATACTAAGTGGAAAAGCTGTTAGTTTTTTCCCCAGTAATTCATAGAAAGTGCATTGCAATGAATTGGTACTTAAATTATAAATAGAATTTTATAGAATTTAAAAAATTAAAGTGTATTGACATACCCTTGAATTTTAGTAGACTTTTAATTGTCACTTATCCTACTCATTTTGTTTTTTCTCAAAATGTACTTATAGAAAACTCTTAGAGCAGGTTTGTTTATATTTGTAAAGAATATAGTCCTTGGAAAATACAGGAGGTAGTTAATTTAATTCAGAAGGATGTCTTATTCTCTCAAATGGTACTTATTAAGTCCTGGAAGAAGGATTTTTAATCTGCTCTCAACTTGCATGTCTTTTTGTAACTGTTAAGATAGATTTAAATTCGATTTCCCTAAGGATATAAAGTAACACTTAAAAAAATACCTTAACATTAAATTGAGATGGGTACCTGTCACAGGAGATCCATTTGAAACCACCAAACATCTGGATCTTTGCAGAGAATAACTGTTGAAACCAAAGCAGGAGCACAATATGTGTATGTCTCCCTCTGTTTAATATTTCATTGAGACTGTTCAGACTAATATGATTAATTTGTTCATGAAAGGCACATGGAGTATGGAAAAGGAACCACCTTTAACATAAATTTCTTCTTTGAGTTACATAATTCTTGCAAAACAAGTAAACAAGTACAACCCAATGTTAATATGTATATCTATCCCCCCACAAAAAAGTTTTCTCTCAATCTCTGCCTGAATAGTGTTCATCTTTTAAGCATGTACACTCCAAATGGTTTAATTTATATCTATCATATACTATTCCACTACTTGACAAATCAGAACCAACTGTGTATTCAAAAATACCTTCACATTGTTTTAATCAGATCTAAAATATGAAAGGTGATTTGACTTTAAAAGGATATTTATTCCAGAGTCAGCTCTATCAGATAACACTATTTAAGCAATTTGGGCCACCCAAAAACCCATTGGATTTTTATTCAATATTTCCAGATAAGAGATAAAATTTTAGTAGAAATTCTTAGCTGTGCTTTGGATATATTCAAAAAAATTCCTCAGTAGTGGACATATTGAGCATATACCATAGAAATGTTTCTCAAGCCACAGTGATGTGTATAATATTTAAAATATTAGTAATATTTAAATTATGAACATTTTTGAGAAATAATGCCTTTAATTTTATTGAGCCATTGAAATCATCAAAGAAATATTCTACTTTTAAAAGTTAAAAGTGATTCTGGCTAATAGATTTTTGCCCTATCAATCTGATATGACTAGGAATAATATATACTAGACTAATAAAATTTATTTTAGAGATGACAACTATAATTGGTATACTTACATAAAATTATTTATTTATAATTTTGTTTGCTTAGCTTTATACATTTTATATATTGAAATAATGCTTGCTATTTTGGGGGATACAAAACTGAGTAATATATGTCCGTTCCCTCAAAAAACTGTTAGGAATAAAAGAGCTTACTCTTGAACTTAATATATTTAAAAAGAGATTAAATTATATAATATGCTTTTTTGAACATTTTAATACTGCTGTCACATATCTGAATTTAGTTTTTGTGGGTCTCTCAAAGCTCTTTGGACATGCAAATGTCTACCACTTTTGAAAGGATGAAAGGGGAAGTATGAGGGAACCATGGAAATGTGATTGATCTGAATGGACATATACAGTAAAAAAATTATTTTCTAAAATCATAGTAAATATAATTTTCAATCTCAGGATTTTTCATAATAAGCTAATACGATAAACTGTAAAAAGTAGCCATCTTACATTAAGCTTTCACATATGCATTGACCTTTTCAGAACCATATCAGGTTTGGTAAAATTCAGACTCAGCAGATTTAGGTTTGAATTCTGAATCCACATTTATCTGTTAGTTGATATTGAACAATGTCACTACCTGAACTTCACTTTTTTCATGTGTAAAAAAAGATAGTAATACCTACCTAACCTATTTTATGAGGTATAATAATGATCCAAAAGGAAAATGTTAGTGAATGCATTTGTAAACCTGAAAAAAAATTATAAATTAGATATTTGTATTTGTGGCTGGTATGTCTTTTAAATTTTATATATTCTTCTTTTAGTTTTTGATAAATATTTTCATCACAGGGAAGAAATTATGTCCATATGCTCTTTTTCCAACAAATGAAATACATATAAAGAATGATACTTAGCACATATTCTTTGAAATACTTGTTTCATTCTGACTTCTGTTTTAAATTTTCATTAGGACATGTGACTGTTTTAAGTTTGACTCAGCGGAGTTATAACTGGAGGACTCTCTGGCTTCACAAGCCTTTCTACTTCCAGTGAGACTCTAAGTAGGAGCAGAAAGTGGAAACTATTACCCATCGGCTGCTCATTGTACAAATCTTTTGCTTTTTGTCGTCTTTGAAATTTATATCTTTTTTATGCCCAGGGCTAATGTGACAAGGTCAAATAGTATTAGGTTTTCACTAATGTCCTTTGTCTTTCTGGTTTGAATTTTCTTAGGAAAAATATACACAGAATGTCAGTAACAGTTCTAGAGTTTGTGTGTTTTTGTTTTGTTTTAAGATTCTACTATTAGGTTTCTATCATCCTAATGAATAGTCACAAAGGTGGATGAATAGCCAGTTTTCTTGATTTAAATTTCCAAAAATGAAAACGTGATTCTAAAAGCATGGCTATCGGAAAAGATAAAATTTCAATATTATTAAAATATTTGATCAAACCAAATATTTTTTTTACTTGAATTGGTATATGCAAAGGGTTTTTTTGTTTTTTTAATTCTAAAACTTTCTTAGTTACTTTTACTTGATGTCTTCATACAACCTGTATTTTACCTCTACCATATGTTGCTATGTAACTAATTGGTGGGAAAAAATTATATACTCTGAAAAAAGAGAAAAACTAATTATCGGCTAATCTTTCCAAATCCTTTTAATAGAAGAGCAAAGAGTTATTATTGGACATATATTAAAGGTAGAAAACAAATAAGAATTTTCTTTTAATAAATACGTTTATTAGAATGATATATTGAAGAATAACTTCAATTTCCTACTTGTAATAATAATGTAGAACATGTCTAAATAGATATGTCTTAATGTTAGGGCTTTAACACTAAGTATACAGTGACAAAGTTTTAAGTTTTTTTTCCTTTATTTTCTTTGTTTTTCTGTGTACATGTGACATTTCAGTAAATTTTACTATTAAGGACTCTGTGTACAAATAATGAAGTAAATGTATATATGAAATGGCCATATTTTTCCACGTTTTCTTTTATTACCTTGGATTTTCCCCACTGGACATTGTTTTTAAGAAGTAGTGTTGTGTAGGTTTAGTATAAATAGTAATATTGTACTTAGGATTGGCTACATTCAGAGAGATCTTCTTCCAGCCTGTTATTTAGTCTATGTTTTCATCAGTAGTATCCTCTGTCTTTCTGCTAATACAGAACAGGATAGTACAAGAGAGAAGTCAAGGTCAGTACAAGCGATAGTTTTGTGTCAGATCCATGAGGACTCCAGTAACAGTATTATTCTGTAACCTTCTGAACTTAATAGTAGTGTATATATATTTTTTCAATTGCTAAGAACTGTTAGAAATAAAGATGAAGAAATCTGCCAGGCCATCTGAAAGGGCAGTATTTCTTAAAAACAACAACACAAAAAAACTGGAAATTAATGCATACTTTTTTTTGTGCTATATATATTCCTTCCACTGAAGCATATTTTTAACAATTATAGAGTTCCAACATTTATAATGGGAATTGGTTCAGAACACTATTGTATTTGTGATAAGAATATATTTTATATGAAAGAATTTTTGTTTTATTTAAAGATTCAGATGATTTGACTTAATTTTTATTTCCAAATATCTAGGATAAGGTGATATTATGTTCATAGTAAGTGTAGACTTGTCTTAGAAATGTAAGTCAAACTAAAGTTAATTTTTCTTTTATGACTTTTGTTTCCAATGATGTGATATTTTAAATATTATGTTCCTTGCTAGAATATAGACTCTTAATGACAATTTTAACTTAGAAAGTAATAGACACTTTTAAAAGTAGGAGGAAAGTTTATTATTAGAATTTGAATATGCATAATTTAACAAGAGCATTGATTTTAAATATTCATATACTTCTGCCAGACTTGTCTATACTACTGTTATAAAACATTTTCTATTATTATTAGTGATTCTAATCAGTTATCTTGTAAAAAAGTGAAGATACCTATTTTTATGAGTTTTTCCTTTTAATGGTTTAATCCAGAAAAAATACATAAATATTATAAATTTGGCCTTATACGAAGAAAAAACAATTAACAATACAACATTCACTTGTTTTTATTTAAATAGCACATATACACTAAAGAAATGATATTTGTTATTTAAATTGGCAAGTCCATGATAATTTCTCTATAGAAATGAATGTTTTCCATTATAAAATAAATACTTAGATTTTATAATTATTGCATTTTAATAAGTACTGTTATTTAGTGTTATTATAATTGTATTTTACTATACAAATACTATTGCATATTCAATTACATATAATTGCATATTATTTTATTGTACTATATGATTTATAATTATATAGTTAGTTCAATAATGTTAAGGCCTTTCCAATTTAAAAATTTTATGAATTCTATTTTTTTTGTTTTCAGCTTGACAAAAATCACACCACTTTTTCATTTTGTTTCTCTGGAAAAACTGGATGTCAGCAACAACTGCCTTTCTGGTAGGTTTATAATAATATATAATTGAAAAAAATGTTTTTGAATTTCTGTTCCAAATATCATTGAGGAGCTGTTTTAGATAGATGTGTTAATGATACATACACACACTAACATATAGAGGAGGAAAATTTTACCTTTTACCTTCTTAAGTTCTTAGGCTGAGACTAAGAATTAAACTGACACAAGAAAAACAGGGGGAAAAAGTTTTAATTGTAGGGTTTCCCCCCCACACACATATACATGGGAGTTCTCCCAAGAAAAATAAAGATCCCAAGAAGCAGTTAGAATTGAACACTTACCTAGAGAATTGGATAAGAGTAGTAAATTATGAAAATGTGACCAGGCAAAGGTGCTTGGTTTAAGGAATTTAATTAAATGAAAAATTGGCTAGGAAATAAGGGTTAGTTTAACAAGTTTGTTTGTGTATATTTCTCTCAGCCTCTCTTCCTGTCCTTGTGAGAAGAATGTCTCTTTCCTCCTGGTATAGGGAGGGTATCTTTCACATAGGAATTCATCTCCTGCTTTAAAGAAAAAGAAGAAAGGTCAGAGTATTTTTACATCTGCTGTTTTATAAGTTCCTTTAAAAAGGCATGGTGAAATAATTCAGTTGATATATTCTTTCCACCTTTAAAATCATACCACTTCCATATCTTTCTGGTAGAACTGGGCATATCTCTCAATTATATTGTTATTTTAAATTCATATACCTTTTAACTATGAAATAAGTAGCCTAGTAAAGGTGAGTAAAACAAAACAAAACATTGTCTAACTTGTGGACTCCTAACAGGTATATAGTAGACACCAATTAAAAATGTACTAAATTAAAAAATGATTAATTCATTTGGCTGACTCATCCCCCAAAGTTTGCCCATCCCTCCTCCCTGTCAGTCCCCTCATAAAGACAAACTAATTTGTCACCATAGGTTAATTTTGACTGTTATACATTTTTGTATCAATAGGATAAAATAGTACATTACCTTTTGCTTCCAATTTTCTTTGCTGAACATTCATGAAATATTCCACTATGTCATTTATATATGTAGTTTGTATTGTTTGTTTGTTTTGCTGAAATGTAGTCAATTATATGAATATAGAATACAACACAATTTGTTTGTCTATTCTCCTGTTGATTGATATTTTGTTTGTGGTTCAGAGTTCCTTCGGAAAATCTTATGTAAATCTTTTTGTGGATATATGTTTTCAGTTTTCTTGGGTAAATGCAACGTGTGAGAGTTCCAATTGCTCGATTCTACAGGGTGTTTTATATTTCATTATTGTTTTAGTTCGTATTCTCATGATGAAGAATGATATTGTGTCTCTTTGCGTGCATTTTTGATGTCTACTGAAGTCTCTTACCATTTTTAAAATTTGTTTATTGCTTTTTTTCTTATTGATTTGTATAAATTAAAATACATTCTGGATGAAGTTATATTTTGTAAATATTTTCTCCAAGAACTTTTTTACTTATTAATTTTATATGTAGATGAACAGAAGTTTTAAGTTGTGATAAAATTAATTTATCATATTTATTAACTATTTTTCTTTGTGTCCTTTGTAGTATTTTCCCACCTCCAGAATGAGATGATTTTTCATGCTTTCTAATAGAAGTTTGAACTTTTAGTTTTTACCTTTGGGTCTTTGACCTATCTCAGATTAATTTTTATGAATGGTATGAAGTAGGGGGATGAATTCAGGTTTTAATATAGATATTTAATTGTTGGAGCAACATTTGTTGAATAAGCTTTTTCAACATTGAATTACTTTGGTGTCTTTGTCAAAATTGATTTACATTAGGCTACTTTCTATTAATGTGTTTCTATTAACTGCTTTTCTCTTAATGATAGGTCATATTTTTCTATTTCTTTTTATGTCTAGTGATTTGTAACTGTATGTTGAACATCGTGCACACAGTTTATTTACTGGGTCTGGGCATTGTTGTCTTCCTTTTAAAGGGTGTTAAGTTTGCCCTAGGCAGTTTGGCTCAGGGATAGAGCATTGGCCTGCAGACTGAAGGGTCCCAAATATTAACAGTACAACGATTAAAATTTCTTTTGACAGCCCAATTTTTTAAACTTAAACTATATAGGTAGGTACATTGTTATTAACTTAATTAGAGTACTCCTAAGGCTTAGGAAGAGCCACACTCAAGGGGCCAAAGAGCCGCATGTGGCTCGTGAGCCGCAGTTTGCCGACCACGGGGGGAGCATTGGCCTGCAGACTGAAGGGTTCTAGGTTCGATTCAGGTCAAGGGCACATGCCTGGGCTGTGGGCTCGATCCCTAGTAGCGGGCAGGCAGGAAGCAGCCAATCAATGATTCTCTCTCATCACTGATGTTTCTGTCTCTCTTTCCTGCTTCCTTCCTCTCAATAAAAAATATTTTTTTAAAAAAAGGTGTTAAGTTTAACTCTGGCAGACAGTTAAAGTATTAATGGATAATTTGTTTCTGTCAGCCTTCATTTTATTCTCTCCTAGGACAAAGCATTTTAGTTTTCAACTCTCAGTGCATGGCCCTACACCAGGCCATTTCATTTCCAACACATAGTCTTTTGGATTTTAGTTGAATCTCTACTCAATTGGGCCTCATTCTGGCTGGGCTGAAACTCCAATGTCTTTCATGTCTGCATGAACTTTAGTGACATCATTCAGCTCTTAGCCCTACAGAAGGTGGTCTCTGCTAGTTTTCTCAGTCTTGCCTGCATGAACTTTAGTGTCATCATTCAGCTCTTAGCCCTACAGAAGGTGGTCTCTGCTAGTTTTCTCAGTCTTGCACCCCCAACACACACATATATATATATATATATATACACACACACACACACACACACACACACACACACACACATACATATATATATATGGCTTCTTATCAGTAATTTTTACCATAAGTTCCAGCTTCAGTTCTAATCTTTGCCTCCTCACTCAGCAAGATAGCTTCTTTGCTTGTTTTCCACTTTCTTGCTCTGAAGTGGTAAAATGCTTTCAGGCAGAAAACTACTGTGCTTGTAAGGTCACCATGTGTATTTCCCTTCTCTCAGAGTCAGGCTTAAAAACAGGTGCTTCATATATAATTGTCCAGTTTTATGATGGTTTTCTGTGGGAGAGAAATTCTGAGATTGACCGACTATTTTTATTTTTGAAAGTTTAATAGGTCCATGTAATTCTATTTAAGGATATGTTCAATTTTACCACTTATCCTATTACTTTAGATTTCACTTTTTCCAATTTTGTGTTTATAACCTGGAATGAACTGTTTTAAGCCATTTACACACATTATTTTATTTAATTCTCACTCTATCAGTTGTATGATTTACATAAGTTCACACAGCTGCTAAATGGTAGAAATATATATTCTGGCAGTAGAGTCTGTGTTCTTAGTAGAGTCTGTGTTCTTAATATAGTATGTATATTGTTTTCTGCAGAACAAATAATTTTTGTTGCTTATTTAACAGCTAATTAAATTTCTTTATCTGAAATATTTCATAATGATTCTTACTGTTTATTTTTATAGATCTTACAAGTACCCTAAAGTGGTTTGATGCATAAAGTGGTTTGATGCATGCTATTCTCTTCGTGAATTGAATATCACTGGAAACCCACTTCTTCAAAAACAAAACAAAACACTGTTGTACCCTATGTACATACTTTATGATAGTTGTAGAAAACAGAAGTTGGTGAAAATTGTTTTGAGCATACAATTTGCTTGGGAAAAGTTAATAAAGATAATTTAAAAGTTATTCAAGACAAAATAGTTTTGTAAGAATAGTTTGAAAATATTTTTCAACTATAATAATTTTTGGCATTTTATGAACTAATGCAGATTTGAACTGATAATTCTTATCCATATTACTATTATGTGATAGTGTTAGTATGATGTTAACTTGTTTTTATTTTTATTTATGAAAAGACATTTATTTGTTGGGAATTACTTTTTATGAGTCACCTAAATCTCTTAAAATTGTTTCCCTTCTGTCAATAATTTGATTTTGTTTTAATTTCTTAAAATAGAAAGTTTGTATATATTATATGTATTATAAGCACATGTGATTTCATGCCTTTCTTTGAAACATTGCAGTACATAGGTGTAAATGAAGAAAAGTATTCTGTAATATTAAAAATTAATTTTCCTCTTCAAAAAAGTTGTTCTGATTGAAACTCTCATATTATGCTAGCACTGTTTCCCCTAAATTGACTAGCATCTTTTATATAATCAACTTTTTAAAAGATAATTTACATATAATAAATGTGTTTTTTTTAATCACCCCAGAAAATTACCTCATTCGCTGTTGCTGTCAGTTCCCTCTTCTGGGACTTTAAAAATGTCTCTCCACTGTCTTTATGGCTTCCATTTTTTTTTACCTAAAGTTAGCTGACATTCTTATCTTTATTCCTCTGTCTCTGGATACTTTTCTAAAAAATCCTCACCTAAGGATATGTTTAGACAGGAAGAGGGAGGGGGGAGAGAGTGAGGGAAGGGGGGGGAGAGAGAGAGAGAGAGAGAGAGAGAGAGAGATTGCCTACCATATGCGCCCAACTTGAAACCTAGGTATGTGACCTAACCAGGAATTGAACCTGCAACCTTTTGGTGTACAAGACAATACTCCAACCAACTGAGCCACCTGCCCAGGTCTGTCTCTGGATACTTTTTTTTTAAATGTGTTTTTATTGATTTTAGAGAGAGAGGAAGGGAGAGGGAGAGAGAAAAACATTGAGTCTGCAACATGTGTCCTGAGTGGGAATCGAGCCAGTGACCTCTCAGTGCATGAGATGTCACTCAACCAACTGAACCACACTGGCCAGGGCTGCCTCTGGATAGTTGTAAGATGTTCCCTTTATCAGTGCTTTTCAGCAGTTTGATAATGATGTGTTTGGTATGATTATATATGGATTTATTCTGCTTAGAATTAATTAAACCTCTTGGAATTGAGGGATTGATAGTTTCCATAAAATCTGAGAATTTTGCCCTGGTTGGTTTGGCTCAGTGTATAGAATGCCGGCCTGTGGACTGAAGGGTCCTGGGTTCGATTCTGGTCAGGGATGGGGGGCACGTGCCTGGGTTATGGGCTCGACCCCCGGTGGGGGGTGTGCAGGAGGCAGCCGATCAGTGATTCTCTCACATCATTGATTTTTCTATCTCTCTCTTCCTTCTCCTTTCCTCTCTGAAATCAATAAAAATATATACTTTTTAAAAAATCTGGGAATTTTTGGCCATTATTTTTTCAAATATTTTTCTGCCTCCTTCCTATCTTGTCCTATAGGACTCCAATTTCACCAATATTATACCAGTTGATATATCCCAGAAGTCGCTATTGCTCTGTTCTTACATTTATAATCCTTTTTTTCTGCCTGTATTTCACTCTTAATAGTTATTGCTGTGTCTTCAAGTTTTCTGATATTTTCTTCTTATGTATTTACTCTGTAATTCATTTCATCCAGACTACTTTTAATTCAAATTTTAGATGTTGTTATTCATCTTTAGATGTTTCATTTATGCCTTAACACCATTTGCAATTTTTCTCCTAATCATGCTCATGTTTTCCTGAATCATCTTGACAGAATATTTATAATGCTGTTTTCACATTCTTGTCTGCTAGTTCCATCACCTTTTTCATTTTGAGTTTGGTTGTCAATGGTTTCTTTTTTCTGATTGGGTTATATCTTCCTGCTTCTTGCATAACTGGTCAATTTTGGTTGGATTACAGACATTTTTAATTTGATATTGTTGATATCATATTTAAAAAATTAAATGGCTTCTATTTTGTTTCTGACATGCAGCAGCTAAATTACTTGGAATTAGTGCGATATGTTCAAAGCTTGCTTTTAAGTTCTGTGGGAAATCTTTAGACTAGTGCTAATGTAGTCCCACTACTATGGTGCTGAGTTTCTGAGTATTCTCCCTAATACCTCTTATATGTATTCTTTCAACTTTAGCTGATCAGAATTATTTTCAGTCCTATGCCCTATGTGGATTCCTATCATGTTTCTGCCTTTTGCTTTTCACTGGTTCTTTCCCTTGTTCTCACACACCCTCCGATCATTACTCATTTACCCAGGTCCAGGTCAATTGCATCCCAGAATACTGAGACTTGCATATGTCCACTTTGGAATTTCTGGTGATGATTCTGGCCTAAACTTGTGTTTCTTTTAATGTTCAGACGCATGCATTTGTTAAAAGATTCAACATGATTTATTATACATTTGACATTTGTGTCATGTCAGGTCATGGCTACATCAAGGCAGAACAAAGCTAAAAGTAGACTGGGTATGCAACCCAATACAGCAAGGTGAGTTGGTAATATGCAAGTATAGGGAAAAGCAATCATTTATTAAAGTTTAGGTAGAAACATCTGTTTCAGGATCTTCAGAGTTTGGATCAAGTCAGTAAGTCTTATCAATTTGATCATGTAGTAAAAATACAACAGTCTTGAGCAAAATATAGAGAAGAAGGAATTTAAGATTTAAAAAGGGGTTGTTATGACATCTGACTTTAGGGCAGAAGCAGTTGACTCTTTGCTCTGACTTGGTTTCCCCCTATGATACATGGCCACAGTCAAGGAGGTCCTGGTTCTGATAACTTCAGAAAGAATATAGAATATCTTACAGAGGAACCAGTGATCTGGTTATGTTTAAAATTTCTATATCTGGTTTAATTTACCTGCAGAACAAGACAAGAGAGTTTAGGGAGTAGTCTCTGCTGCCTCCCTTGTCTGAGGCCTCTGCTAACCTCTCTAATACTCTCTTGCCAGATGTACAAGGTTGGGCAAATGTAGGTTTACAGTTGGAATAAAAGTAGATAAAACAATAATTAATAAATAGCTATACAAGTATAAACTCTGTTTTGTGTACTCACAACTGTAGACCTACTTTTGCCTACCCCTGAATTGGTTTCCTGTATTTGTTAATTGGTCTTTAGTTAAGAAAATTGCATTTTTACACCAAGTCAAACACCTGTGTAATTTGCTACTTGTGATAACTTGTGTATCACAGTAGACGTATTGCCTTTGCCAGAAAGTCTTTTTCTTTTTTTTTTTTCAAAGCTCAGTTTCCACATAAATTTTTAATGTTACACTCTTGTTGTTTTTAGGAAAAATTTTATGTATCCACATGTTTTGGAACAGAACTTGTCAGTTTCTACTTTAGAAACATGCTTCCAAATACAGTTTAAGTTGTTTAGCATAGAGGAAAGAGTATAACCTAGTGCAATGATTCTCATTGCTATCCCTCACAAGATCACAAAAATTACTTGAATTCTTGGGTTACATTGAATTTCCTTTATAAAGGCATATCCCCAGACCACCAACTTTATCATCGTCTGGAAACCTATTAGTAATGCAAAATCTTGGTTACTACCCAGACTCAGTCAATCAGAAACTAGGGGATGACGACTTATCTGTGCTTTACTAAGCCCTTTGTATGATTCCATACACACTAAAGTTTGAAAATCACTGTTTTTAACAAGTACATTCTAATTCTGCCCCATACTGTGTGATTCTTGGCAAATAACTTTCCCAGGTCTCTAAATCCTCCTTGATAAAGTGATAATAAAAACAGTGCCTGTCTTATGGGGTAGTTGTGAGAATTGAATGGGATAATATACATATTTTTTTAAGAACAATTCCTGGAAGCACACAAAAATCTACCATTGTCTATTTCTAGGGAAACCAGACTATATATAGGTCCTCAATCTCCAAGTATTTAGGGAATGCCTACCATATGTAAATAGTGTCATAACATGTTGGACATTATAAAGGAAAGTCAATGTAACCCAAGAATTCAAGTAATTTTTGTGATCTTGTGAGGGATAGCAAAGAATGATAACCATGAAAACTCCTAGCAAATACTCAAATAGCATTTACTTTGTGCCAGCACTGTTCTCATTTAATCCCTACAGTATGCATAGTTAAATAATTAACTGGTATCCCCATTTTATAGTTAAGGTAAATTAGCCACAAAAAGGCTAAATAACATTGAAGGTCATACAACTAGCAAGTGGAAGAGCCCAGATTCAAACCATGCAGTGAGGTTCCAGAGTCTGTGCTCTTAACTCTTACATTTTAGTACCTAACACTGATAATTTTTGAAGGTATAGATATGGTTTAGAAATTTGGGAATACCACCTTTATTTAGTGCACCTAGGAAACACTGCCTTCCTTGAAGAGGAAAACTTCGAGTTAAACCTCTCAAGTTTGGTAAGATTTAAAATCAAGTTTAAAAAACCCACACAAACACATAAAACACCCCAATGAAGGAAATAACTGAGAAAAGAGGTCAGATGTCTGTGTTAAAAGTCTGTGCTTCTCTTGTTTGGTGATTTAAAGCACTAACCCCACGTCTTGGGTCCTTATTTCTAGGATTCAGATCTTAGAGTGAAATCTTTCATATAAAAAGAAGGGTATAATTATGTCCAAAAGACTCTGCTTGTAAGGAAATATTATTTATAATGAAAATACCTGGTGGGCTGTTTTTAAATAGCTATCTTTATTGTCCAAAGTAACTATGTAGACTAAGTCTACAATGAAAAATAAAATAAGTAGTTATGCCCATGATTCAGAGCCATGTCTTTAGGGGTAATGGTTTTTCTATTAGGTGTTGGACAGATAAGACATGGATTCTCCTGCTGATCCA